CGCGCAGCACGCCGCCCCGCGTCGCGGCTGTGCTCTTCCTCGACGGGCGGGCTTCCTACTCCGATTGGGCCCCCCCCGATTGCGTTCTGCGCCATTTCAAGCAAAGGGGCGATGCGCAGATTATGTCCCTCGAGCTTCTTGCGATCGCGTTTGGCCTTTCCACATTCAGCAACGCGCTCGCGGGCAGGCGCGTGCGCCTCTGGTCCGACAACGTCGGTGCCGAGGCTGCCACGCGGAAAGGCGCTTCCAAAGAGTGGGACTATACGTGTCTCATCAATTCTTTGTGGCTGCAGGCGGCGCAATTGCGCGTCTCGCTCCGCGTCGACCGCGTCCCCTCGAAGCTAAACGTTGCCGATTTGCCGTCGCGGGAGCAGTACTGGCTCCTTCGCGAGATCGGCGCTTCTTTCGTGCTGCCGCGTCTTAGCGAGGCATTCTGGAAGCCCGATGCCTGGGCATCTCTTTCGGCCGCGCGGGTGTCGCTGCGCCGCGCGTGAGCGTCCGTCGGCCGACAGTTCGGCTTGCGCGCCAAATCGTCTTGCGTCGGCGCGCGCGCATGAAAATTGTTTTATTCGTTGTCGTGTTGCGTCCGCGAAGGTCGCGCGTAGCGCAGCCGCTCCACGTGCGCTCGGCAAGCAGGGCTCGGCGGCAGAGGCATTGCTTGGCGCGCGCCGACCGTCGGAACGGCAATGGCCGGGCACGCCGCTTCCATGCGTGTCTTCCTGGAGAGAGCCGCGGGCCAAGGCAGGCACGATGCGGCGTGGTTCGATGCGATCGCGGCGGCGCTCGCCGCCGAAAGCGTGTCGCGCCCGTCCGCGCTCGCTGGGGCCAAATTCAAAGATTTCCAATTCCTGGGCGCGGACCTCGACGGCGGCCAAAAGTGTTGTATTCGGGAAGCTATCGCACTCGCGTCAAGCCTTCAGGTTCGCGCACTTCGCGCCGCGCCCCTGCTGCATCGCGCCCGCGTGCGCGCGCAGGAGGCAGCACAAGTCCAGAAGCCGGTGCCGGCGCGGGCGCAGGCCGCCGGGGGCATTGCCGTTGACGCGCTCCTCGAGACAAGGATTGCGGAGGCGCAGGGGGCCCGCGCGCCACAGTGCGGCGGGGGCCCGCGCGCGGAGCTCCGTAATCTTCGCCGGCGGCTTGACAGCGAGGAAGGCCCAGCGAGCGTCGCTGAGTGGCTGTCTTCGGCGCGCGCAGCGGCCCTCCTGGGCGCATGCCCGCGCTCCATCGCCTCTTTCAAGAGCGGCGCGGCAGCATGGATCGCGTTCGCGCGCGAGGCTCTTGCGCTGCACGGGCGCGAGCTGCCGCCGTCTGCCGACGGGTTGCTCGCGTGGTCGCTGCTGTTTCGCTCCGACCAGACCTTTTCCAATTATGTCTCTCACGTCAAGCTGGCTTGTCAGGTTTGCGATCTCCCTGTAGACGTTTTTCGTGACACGCCCCTTCGCCGCGCCAAATGCGCGATTCGCAAGCGCGGCGCTTTCCTGCCCAGGGCGCCCCTATTCATCAGGGAGGACGCAGTTTGCGCGCTGCTAAATCTGGCAAAAGAGCGGCACGAGTCCGCCGTTTTCGCGCAGCTCTTTCTTGTCACGCACGTGTTTCTCTTGCGCCTTCCCTCGGAGGCCCTGGGCATTATCGTTCGACGGCGTCGCCTTTCGTCAGGGCGCAGGGGCTTCCCTCATTCTGTGCGACGGCCTCCTGCAGCTCAAATTGGCGCGCCGCAAGAACAAGCAATTCGGGTCCGTGCTGCAGCGAGCGTGCTGGTGCGCGCGCTGCACCAAGACGTGCCCGGTCCACGCGCTCGGCGCATGGTTCGCGGACCTGCCCGTGGGCACCAGGCCGTTCGCGGACATTAGCGCGGCCAGCTCGCTGAGCACGCTGCGCTTTCTCCTCGGTCAGCTCGGCGTCAAAGACGCGGCGCTCTATCGCACGCACGACCTGCGGCGCGGGCACGCACTGGACCTCCAGCAGAGGGGAGGCACCTTGCGCGAGATCCTTCAAGCGGGCGAATGGTCCTCGCCCGCGTTCCTGTCGTACCTCGATTTGACGCAACTCGAACTCGGCGCCGTGGTCGAGGCGCATCTAGCTGAGTCCGAGGACGAACTTGCCTAGGCAATGGCGACCCAGGCGTCGCGCGACGCCCTCGCGCGCACGCCTCCGCCGCTGCGTGTCACAACACCGCGGCGCCGCCGCACGCAACACCCGTTTCGCAAGGGGTGCGCGTGCCGCGCGCGTCGCCGCTGCGCGGTGCACCAGCATGCATCGGCTGGGGGTACTTGCATCCCTGGCGCCCCGCGCGTCGGCTCAGACTGGCACCGCCAGGCTGGACGGCGCGGGGGGTGCCGCACCCCTTGTCAAGTGGGTGCGGGCACCCTCGGGTGCGGGAGGCTTCTGGCGCAGCTGAAATTTGTGGTGGGCGCCCAACGCCATCGAAAGCGCGCGCGCTCGCTTGTGCTGCGTTGTGCGCGGGCACAAATTTCGCGCCCGCGCCTGGCCCGCGCGCGGGCGGGCAAGCTGGGCGCGCGGGCCGCCTCCCGCTTTCCTGCGCCGCGCGGCGCGCGGCCCCACGAGAAGGGCCCGCGCGCGCGAGGCGGGGGGGCGTCAGCATGTGCCTCGCGGCGCGCGGCCCCACGCGAAGGGCCTGCGCGCGCGAGGGGGGGGGGGGGGAGCGACGGCGCGCGCCTCGCGGCGCGCGGCCCCGCGCGAAGGGCCCGCGCGCGAGGGGGGTGCGTCGTCGCGCGCGTGGCTAGTCTGCTCTACTGCTCGCTTTGCGTCGAACGCCCCGTGCAGGCGCGCCGCGGGGATCGCGTCGGGGCGGTTCGCGGCGCGCCTCGGGGTCGTGCGATGTGCAGGCATTGGTGCTTGCATCTCGCAGGCATGTGCGCTTGCGCCCCGCCGTGGCGGACGGCGCGCGCGCTTTCGCCCCACCCTCCCGCTCCTGGGGGTACTTGCATCCCTGGCGCCCCGCGCGTCGGCTGAGACTGGCACCGCCAGTCTGGGCGGCGCGGGGGGTGCCGCACCCCTTGTCAAGTGGGTGCGGGCACCCTCGGGTGCGGGAGGCTTCTGGCGCAGCTGAAATTTGCGGGGTCCGATTGGGGCTGCAGTGGCAAAATACAACTCGGAGCTAGGGGTAGCACATTACGCCGTAGCGACAGTGTCGAAGAACTTGCCGTTCGATGCCAGGAGTGGTTCGGCTCGGCAGTGGACCCAACAAGACAGGACAGTGGTGCACTCGTTGTCTTTGGTTGCGCAGACCCCTTGGAAATACTCAAAAGATATGGTTCGCCCCTCCCAAAGAGAGACGAAGAAAGATAGGGGGCGCTCGGTTGTGCGAGCGGGTTCCAAGCGCCCTGAGGGTGGGGGACAGGGGGAGGGGTCACCGATTCGATCGGCTACGAGTTCGTGATCGAATGACACCTGGTCCAGCGACCGCGCCGTGCACTGTGCCACACGGCTTGAGAGTGCATCCAATTGCCCGCGGCAAACCCCGCCACAGCGTTTGTGCAGCAGCGTAGCAAGAATAACCTTGAATGCTTAACGTTGCGCGTATCCCCGCTGCGCATTACATCGCAATGGCATTGCTTTGCGTTGCAGTGCGTTGCACTGCACTGCACTGCGTTACTTTGCATTGCGTTGCGCTACGCTGCATGACATTACATTGATGTGCAGTGCAAAACGTGTTTCGTTGCGCACTGGTTTACATTGGATGACATTGCTGCGCATCGCAGTGCATCGCATCGCATTGCAATGCGTAGACCGCACCAGCTACAGGAGCTACACCGACCTAGATTGCACTATTTTGATTGCGCAACCTGGATGCTAGATTGCGCCACCTAGATTGCACCACGTGTACTTGGACTGCACTACGTCGTGTGGCCCACCTAGGTTACAATGCACCCAGTGCAAGAAATTATTGTGTGGGCTCCACGTATACATACATACATACATACATACATACATACATACATACATATATAAATACATATATAGTGTACCATTCATTGCACGATGGAGCATTGCTCGTGTCGGTCGTTGCCATCCAAAGGGATGGCCGTCGATGTTCATTGAAATGCAGATCTAGTTCACATCAGTACGCTTAGGCCAGGTCGAAGCTACACCTCTCAACGGTGGCAACTGCTGAAGCCCCCTTCTCACCCAAAGCTGCGAGGCTGGAGAAAGCGACTGCCAGTTGCCAAGCGAAGAGCCGCAGATGCTGAGAAGGACCAGGATGATGTGGCAGTCGAGACTAGGCATGCGGGTATGAGGACTCAAGAGTGAGGACATGCTGCTTAGCAGTCCGCAACTTCAGCGAAAAGTATGCACATTATTGTGAGCTATCTAGACCCAGCTTGTTGAGCTTAGGCCTACAGCAAGGAATACCATGAAGAAGAGCTGGATATACGCAGGCGCATGCCGCACGAAATAAAGGCAAGCAGCCACAACACTTGGGCGTAGACGGGGCCGGAAAGTCACGGGAAGGGGACGGAATGAGACGGAGAGGGTGCGCAGGGGGGCATTTGCTTGGCAGGGGGGGGGCATGGAAGTGAAGCGTTGTCAGTCTCGCCCTTTTTCGACTAGACATAAGAGTGACCGTTCGCCAGAGTGGCCTCTGGTGCTGGCCCAATGGGGTCCCCCGATCGTTGAGCGCGAAGCGACAGCAGCTGCTTGCGCGGCCAGGTTTGGCCACCCCGCGTCCCCCGTTACGCCGCGCACCAAAGGTCTTCCTTACCCAGGGTCATTCTTACGTGTAGCCGGCAAAGATACCATCCGCTTGCAAGTTGTCGAATTGTGCGTTACTTCTCTGCGCGCTTCTATGCAAGTCGATCGCGTTGCGATGTGTGGCAAGAGTTGCGCAACCGCTGGCACTATCGTGCATCCCGAGCTGCCAACGTTGGAACCAGAATCGACCCTAGTGGCATCCATCGCTGATTTATCATGAGTTATGTTCTTCTGCGTTCGCGGCACTGGCGTCGCTCGATTCCGCGGTAAGCGCTGAGCGCCCACAGGATTGCACCGTGGATGACTTCATCGATGTCATAGATGGAAACCGAAAGTACGTCAAGTGCTTATATGTATCCAGGGGGAACGCATTGTGCAAGGGCTTCCGGCCAGCGCAAGGAGGAAGAGAAGGAGCATTATCATGGTTGAGTTTGCCGTGGCTGGAGCGATGCCGCTGTGACTGCTGGACACAGACGTGTCTATGGCAAGCGGGAGGCCCGTGAGCGCAAAGAGGCAGGAGCATCCACACGTACAAGACACCTAGGATACCAGAGAGAGAGAGAGAGACAAACAAAAAAATGAACGGAGAAAGGGAGGTACAGGGGCACCCAGGACAAAGAGGGATATCGACCAGCAAGCCTCAAAGATCTCTGATCAAAGCTCATAGGAGACATCGTGGGGAGCCCGCGCGGCGCTGTAGAGCCCTCCTGCCCAGGCTGCAAGCTCTCTTCGGCTGCCGCCCCTGCCGGGAGATCTCAGCAAGCATGTTCGGGAACTCCGAGGAAGACCCGGGTGGGCTCGCGTCCACGTGAGCACGCTGGGCACACACTTTTTGGTCGGCGGGGCGAGAGCGAACCTCTTCTGCTAAAAGCTAGGCGAGCTACGCACAGCTTTAATTAGGGAGACAGGGCACGGGAAGGCGGGGCCTCAGGCGGCCGGAGCGGGCGGAGCCCGGGGTGCAGGCGGTGCCGAAGAGCTTGCACAGGACGCTGGGCACACACGCGCACGCGCGTGGGTGACATGCTGGAGGCCTCGTGGGGCATCTTGCGGGCCTCTGCGGGGCCTCGAGGGGGCGTCCAGGCCACTTGCTGGAGTCTCCGCGAGGCCTCCGGGGGCCCACAGGGAGGTATTACTGGGGGCCTATCCATCTTCAAGGGAGAGCTGGAGATGTGAGTTCGCGGTCCCGGTGCTGGACTTCTTGTGAGGCTCTTGTGAGCCTCTCCGGGTGCCTGTTTGGAGCCCTCTTGGATGGCACCGGATGCTTGAATTTGTTATTGAAGTGTTTGGACCGGGCAAGGTTTGCAGTGGGGGGTCTTCTGGGGGAGGACGACCCAGAAAGGGTCGGCGGACAGGATGCACATAATGGTATGTTGAAAATGCCTTTCGGGGTTTTGTGGACGCGTGTTTGAAGTCTCTTGGGGGTCTCTTGGGGCCTCATGAGTCCCTCTTGGGGCCACGTCTGGGCCTCTTTGGGGCCTCGTGGGTTCCTCGTGGATTTTTTGTATGAGCCTCTTTGGGGCCATGTGGGGCCTCTTGGGGAACGTATTGGGGACCCTGGGTACCATTTGGAGGGGGGAAGGTCGAAATGTCTGTTCGCGCTCCCTCTTGAGGACCCCTTTTAGGTTCGGGGGGGGACCCTGGGGTCTCTTGGGGCCTTCTGGAAAGTCTCTAGGGCTGCTTAGGGGCCCCCGTGGGTCGTCTTGGGGACTTCATGCGGGTCTTTTTGGGCCATCTGGGGGCGATATTTGAGGCCTCTTGGGCCGTCTTGGAGCGCTGGGAAGCAGAAGTGGCAAAGACGCCAAAAACTTTTTTGAAAAACCAGAGGACGCTCATTGATTTAATCCTGCCCGTCGGAGCGCTCTTGAGGAGCCTCGTGGGCGCTTCTTGGGGCGTCGTCGAGGCATCGTAGACCTCCTCGGAGGCGAGTTGGACCATGGTTGGGGCTTCTTAAGGCCTTCTTATGGCTGGAGCGAGGGGTCTCTTAGGCCTTTCTTGGTCGCCTTGGAGCCCTCAGGGGCCGTCTTGGAGCCGCAGGAGGATCCCGGGGCGGGCCAGACCGCATGCGGCACTAATTAAAACAGACCAGGACCAAGCCCAACCGACTGGTACATGCTCCAACCGGCTCGAAAATACAAATTGGTATTAATTCCAATTGGCCCATGGAGATAGTTTATCGGGTTGGCCTGTCAGTTTGTTGATCCGCAACCGTCGGATCTAATCAGCCGCGCGAGCCGGTAGTTCGCCCCTCCATGGAGTGGGCGAGGGCTGCCGCTGCTGGCGCAGGCGGCTTGGCACACCTGGGCAGCCTGTGGTACGGCCAGCGCTGTACCTGCCAGGTCGAGCTGGGAGACGGGTTCGCGGTGGACCGTGAGCTGCTGCGCCTGCTGGAGGGGCAGCTGCAGAGGTGCGGGCCCGCCAACCTCACGGTGCCGGCGCCGTGCCCGCCCCCAGAGTGCTCGGGCTATCCTGGGCTGGTGGTCTTCCTGGTGGCGGTGCTGGCTTTCCTGGCAGGGTTCGCGGCTGCTGCCTCCTGTGGCTGGTGGTGCTTGAGGAGCTCGGAGGGTCGTGCCACGTCTGAGGGCTCAGGGACTCCGTGCCTGACCGACGGAAGCGATGTCATATCATCTTCGTCAGGGCCAGCGAGTGCTCGTCTCCTACGACGAGGACCCGCGTGAGTTGTTGTGGCATGAGCGCCTGCTGTGCGCGCACGTGCACGAAGGCTCCTGGGTGGTGACCACCCCCGAGAGAGACATGTACCTCGAGGACCTCCAGGAGGGCGTCGAGAGCCTCGTGTTGCTGGGTCCCATGGGAGGCCTGCCGATCGGCTGGAACCGTGGGCCCACGCACCTGTTCAGGAACTCGTCCCAGGGCCCGCTGCACCGCGAGGAGAGCCTGCGGCTCCAGGCGGATGGCGCGGAGCTGGCCTTGCAGGAGAGGCGCGACTTGGGCCTGGCCGCTTCTCCGCCGCCGCCGCCGCCGTCCACGGGCGCGCCTCCGCCGCTGGCGCTGGAGGGCGTGCCGAGCTCGGGCGAAGGAGGATGGCGGTACTCGGAGAACCGCGGCTGTGCCAGGCTGGGCGAGCGCGTCGGCGACGCGGAGCTGGAGGCAGGCTGCCATCGAGGAGATCGTGGAGTGGCCCTGGTGGGCGACGTCTTCGTGGCCTGCGCCTTCTTCAGGCCGGGCCAGCAGATGCCTACGCCCAGGGAGGTGGGGGCGGCGGAGCCTGTGTCCAACGAGCTGCGCACCCCCCCGGCGAAGTACGAGACGGCCAGCCAGCGGCATCGTCCTACAAGGAGGCTGCATCGCTGACCACAACGACGGCGTTCGAGGACTGGCCGATCAGCGGCCCGAGGACGGCGGAGTGGCTGGCGCGGGAGATCGCTCGGCAGGAGCTCACGCCCGTGCGCCGCCACTTCTGGTGGAGACAGCTGTTGGGCTTGGGCCCCAGCGATTGGGGCGTCGGGGAGCACGAGTCCTTGAGCCGGCTCTTCGAGTACGCTCTGACGTACGACCAGCTAAACTTCTGCGAGCTTGCGTCGATGGAGCTTGCGGGCAGGCGCTACCAGCTGCTCGAGGAGAGGTACGCCCGCATGCTCATCGCGGCCAAGGCGGGTGGCGACAGCGGCCACCTCGACAACGACAGGATGTTCATGGGCGAGGAGGGCCGCCATGGCCGTGCTCTTGTGGCGCCTGCTCTAGAGTCCTGGATCTCCCAGAAGCTGCCCGAGGAGAGCGCGGTGCTCAAGGAGCGCCGCAAGGCGAAGGAGGAGCGGCAGCTGGCCCGCTCGACCGACGTTGCTCCAGGTGTTGGAAGCGGCAAGAACGACGAGAAGCCCCCCAGGCGCCCGAAGAAGAACGGTGGCGGGCCGGGGGGTGGCGCTGCTTGAGCTGCCACGGGCGGCGGAGGCCCCCGGCCGCCGCCCATTCTGCAAAGGGGGGGGCTGCCCGCTTGAGGAGGATGGCGGGCCGCCCCGGCGTTGCAGGTGAAGGCCTAGACTGGGCTCGGGACTTGCTGCCGTTGCCATCTGGGCGCTGCCTGGCTGATCTTCTGGAGGGGCTCTCGCCAGCTGGCCTGGGTGTGTCGCGCTGTGCGGATCGGCGGCGCTCGCGCCGACGAGCTGCTGTGGCGCGGCTGCAGGACGGCATCTCGACGCTCAACGTGCTGGGCGGCCGCGGCGAGAAGTGGGGCCCCAAAGTGCTGCCAGGTGCTATCCAGCGCCAGGCTGTGGCCAGCTTGGCCCGGGCCTACTTTGCCGTGCCGCCGCCGCCCGACGACCTCACCGCCTCGGGAGCGTGGTCTGCGCGTCGGGGCTGCGGTTCCGGCTACGCCGTTGCAGGTGTTGTCGCCGGAGAGTTCGCGACCTACCAGCGCGGCAGGCTTGCCCTGCCGGCGGTCGGTAACCAGGCGATCGACCTCGTCAGCTGCCTGCCCGACCACTACCAGAAGTTGCTGGAGGATAGTGGCCGCGCTATTCGGCTACCAGCAGTGTGTACAAAGGACGTGGCGGCAGGGGTGGACGAGTTGGGCCCTGCGATGGACCCCATCCTGGCGAGGTCGCCCAGCAAGTACGCCGAGTTTTTGATCTGTGCATATGAATCGGGCGTCGTCGAGCCGGCGACTGAGGTTCGCAGTTTTGTGGGAGTCTTCTCTGTGCGTAAGAAGGACGGCTCGTTGCGGATCATCTTCGATCCTCGGAAGACGAATTCGCAGTTTGTACTTCCAGATAGTGTTGCTCTGGCTTCCCCTCAGGCCCTGGGTGATCTTGAGTTGCCTGCAGGCCAGCGGTTGTGGGTCAGTGAGGGCGATGTCGAGAACTGCTACTACCAGTTCTTGCTGCCCGACGACCTGAGGGCCGACTTCGTGTTACCTGCGGTGCCTCGGAAGCTGCTGCCGCGGAGCCTGCGCCGCTTGTTTCCGCCCGAGGACGACTTCGTTCACTTCCAGGTGCGCGTGGTGCCGATGGGCTGGAGCTGGGCCGCGGCGCTGGCGCAGGCAGCGAACGCGGAGCTGCTGCGGGCGGGTCCGCAAGGGGTCCGCCGCTGGATCTGCAATCGCCTCTGCGCGCCTGCTGTCGCCGGGCGTGAGCCCGCTGCTCTCCTGTACATCGACAACTTCGCCTCGCTGGGGACCGTAAAGGAGACAGTCCAGCTCGACGGCGACTCGATGGAGAGGCAGCTGAGGGGACGCGGTCTGACTACTCACGACATTTCGGGGCCGCAAGTTGACGTGGACCTGCTCGGGCCCCACATCGACGGGGCGAAGGGGGCGATCCACATCGCGCCCAAGCGGTACTGGAGGCTAGTCATGAGTCTGGACTACATCCTGAAGCACCCCCTCCTGACGGGAGCCGAGCTAGAGCGGCTGATCGGGCACTTGACGTACGTGCTACTGCTACGACGCGAGGTGCTCAGCTTGCTCAGTGCGTCCTACGTCTTTGTCAGCAAGTGCCACGCCCGTCGCGTGCGGCTCTGGCCTTCGGTGCGCCGAGAGCTGACCTGGATGCGAGCGCTGCTGCCGATGGCGTGGGCGGACCTGCGCGGCGCCTGGGCCCCCAGCGCGATGGCCGTGGACGCCTCAATGACTGGCTTGGGCGCGGTGGAGCGCTCCGCGGACCCCCATGACGTCGGGCGCATCGGCCGAGTTAGAGAGCGCTGGAGGTTCAAGGAGCACGAGCTGGTGGCCGAAGGCTCGCGTGCACGCGCCTTGCGTGAAGGTGCCGTTGGCGACTCTCCGTTCCCCGACGTGCCGTCGGACTTCTGCAAGGCCGACTCGTGGGAGACCGTGGACTCGAGACGGTGGCGCCATCGTGCCCGCCCCCATCCACCTTCTGGGGGGCGAGGCGCTGCTGTGGGCCATGCGGCGGCAGGTGCGGCGAGTGGCGCATCATGGGTGCAGGCTTCTCTTCTTGTCAGACAGCATGTGTATTTGCTGTGCAGTTGCAAAAGAAAGAGCTTCGGATTTTCCCATCCTCGCTCAGTTGAGACACTTGACAGCTCTTCAGCTCGCATCGTCTTGTCGCGTGTCAGCGCGATGGATTCCTTCAGAGTGGAACCCCGCCGACGGTCCTTCAAGGCGGTTCGAGCCTCGCCGTTTGCGGGGCGATGGAGCGCCGTCAGCTCGTGGCAGCCGCCCCGAGTGCGCAGCCGCTGCCTGCGCCGAGCGCGCCGGCGAGCGGCCATGGGCGAAAGCGCCTCCTGGGCTCGCCGGGTCGTGCGCGCTCGGGCCAGGCGAGGGCCAGTGCCCGACGCCCCGGGCCCGCTGCCGCGACCCGGAGGTCGACGGCCTTGCCGTGGCACCGCCTCCTGGGCTCGAGCGCGTCAGGACTGGAGCTGGAGGCGGTGAGGCCCTCTACCCAGCAGAACTACCTGAAGTGCCTCAGTGGCCTCTGCAACTGGCTCGGAGTGGAGACGCTTCCCAGCTGGAGCGCGCTGGAGTGGGACGACGCACTGCTGCAGTACCTGAACGACGAGTTCGCGCAGGGAGTGCGCCCGAACAGGGCTGCGAAGCTGTTGTCGGCGGCGCTCTGGGCGCGACCGGCGCTGGGGCGGCCCCTGCGGGTGGCGCTGCCGAGGAGCAGCCGGGCGCTGCTGGGCTGGAAGCGCAAGCGGCCCGGCCACTCTCGGCCGCCGCTCCCATGGCTGGTGCTCTGCGGCGTGCTGGAGATCCTGCTGCTGAAGCGGGAGGTGGCGATGGCGCGTGCTCTCTGCCTCATGTTCCACTGCTACCTTCGGCCCGGGGAGCTCCTGGCGATGAAAGCGTTTCAGCTGGCGCCGCCGGCTGCAGGGCTGCAGGGCGGGTTTCGCCGGTGGACGCTGCTGCTTCACCCAGAAGAGCTGTTGGTGCCCAGCAAGACTGGCGAGCTGGACGACTCGCTGCCGCTGGACGCGCCCGAGCTCCAGTGGCTTACGCCCGCGCTCAGGGATCTGAAGGCGCGGCTGGAGCCCCGCGAGCCGCTGTGGAGTTTCGGTTACGCGCAGCTGCGCGAGGAGCTCGAGGGCGCGCCGGCGGTGCTGGGACTTCAAAGCCTCGGTGCCACGCTGCACTGCCTGCGGCGTGGAGGAGCAAGCCACAATCGAATCGTGGGAAGGAGGTCACTCGAGGAGGTGGCCAAGAGAGGCAGGTGGCGAGCTCGCCTGTCCGCACGAAGGTACGAGAAGCACGGCCGCCTGGCGCTGCAAGTGGCGAAGGTGCCGCCCGTGGTGCAGGAGCGGCCGCGACTCAGCATGCAGAGGCTGCCGCAGCTGTTCGCCAACTGCTCAACGCGACGCTCCACAGAGTGCGCCTGGGGCGGGATAGGGTCGCCGTCGAGGTCTTCGCTGGGTCAGGCCGCCTCGCCTCGGCGCTTCGCGCCAGAGGAGTCCCCACGGTCGAGTGGGACATCATTCGAGGAGCGCAGTTTGACTTCACCAAGGCGTCCAGTGTCGAAGTTCTGAAAGGATGGATTCTCAGTGGTGAGATGAGCATCTTGTGGTTAGGAACCCCGTGCACTTCTTTCTCGTTGGCCCGTTGGTATACCAAGTCTGGGCCAGGACCTTTGAGGTCCAAAGAGTTTCCTCTTGGACTGCCGGGCCTCTCAGGTCCCGATCAAATGCGAGTGCAGTTGGGTAACCGTTTGATGCGTGTCTCTGTTGTGCTTACTAAGTTAGCTCACGCTAGAGGGATCCCTGGAGGGCTCGAGGATCCTGCTTTTTCTCGTCTTTGGCTGTGTCCGCCTGTGCTAGGTCTCGGTAGGCTCCCCAATGTTCACGACGTGTTCACGGACTTTTGTATGTGGGGTGAGCCGCGGCGTAAACGAACACGGCTTCGCCTCTGCCACGTTTCTTCGGAGCTTCTTGGGCGAAAGTGCCACGGTAAAGGCATTTGTGAGAGGTCCCAGAGGCCTCACCAAGCGTTGGAGGGCAAGGCCCCCCGTGGCCAGTTTTGGACGGCAGTTGCACAGCCTTACCCCAAGGCGCTGTGCAAGATCCTTGCCGAGTCTCTTGTAGAGCGTCAAATAATCGTAGGCTCTCTCGGTTGTGGGACATTTGTAACTGCTAAGCGGTATTACCAGTGCACTAATGAATCTGGACGTGAATATGGCCCAGAATGTTTTGTTACTTGTTCGATGCTGCTGCGTTCTGTTGTCACTGTTGCCGATGCCTCGCCCCAGCGCCCTCTCAATCTTGTGCTGGAGAAAAATAGAAGGCCTTGGAGATAGTTTATCGGGTTGGCCTGTCAATTTGTTGATCCGCAACCGTTGGATCTAATCAGCCGCGCGAGCCGCCCGACCCTCCCTCCCCTCTCTGCTCTTCCGCCTTTCAATCCCACACGAATTCAGAATTTAACGGGCCCAGAGTTTTTTACTTGTTCGATGTTGCTGCGTTCTGTTGTCACTGTTGCCGGTGCCTCGCCCCAGCGCCCTCTCAAGCTTGTGCTGGAGAAAAATAGAAGGCCAATAACGTCATTATATGATTCCAATTTCGAGGCGGTGTTACGATCTACGACAACTAAATAATATGTTTACGACGTGTATTCCGGCAGCTAGCATGATTGCCCGGTTTGGAATTTGCATCAGGTTTGTCTGGGGATGTCATTGCAAGGGTTCGAGGGCTTGAGGGTTTAAGGGTTTCCAGGCGGTTGAAGGGCCCAAGGGCTCAAGGGCTGCAGGGTTTAAGCGCTTCAAGGCTCAAGAGATGAAGGGTTTGAGGTTTATTTAACATCCAAATGATTATAAGCTTCATGGCTGAAGGGCTCAAGGGCTGAAGGGCTTTAGGGGGTGAGTGTTTATGTGGTTCAAGGCTCAAGGCTTCGATGGGCGCAAGAAATTCACGGCTTCTGGGCTCGAGGGTTCAAGAACTCACGGGTCCACGTGGGCGAGGTGTTTGAGGGCTGAAGGCCTCAAAGGGTTTAATTGTTCGAGGGTTGAAGGGTTCCGGGGCTTACGGGCTCAAGGGCATTAAATTTCAAGGATTGAGAACTCACGGACTCATCGTTATCATCACCACCATCATCACCACACCCACCGCAACCAGCATCACCATCATCACCCCGCTCATCCGTCGCAGGCACGCCGCCTTCCCCTCCACCCACCCCAATCCTTCTCCGACGGAAGAGGGGGAACAGAAGGAGGAAAAGGAGCCCACCCCTTCGACTAGCACTTCGCGGCATGCGCCGCCCTCTCGTCCCGAGGATTCGCGGGCAGCCAGAGGCCCCCCCGTCGCTCTCCAAGGCCTCTCCTCCTCTCCTCGCCCCCTCTTCCTCTTCCCCCCCCTCTCCTCCTTCCACCTCGAGGCGCCACGGCCGCTGTCCTGCCGAACGACCGAACGACGACGACGACGACGACGACGACGACGACGACGACGACGACGACGACGACGACGACGACGCGCGCGCGCGCGGGGGTGGGGGGGGGCGCGCCGCTGCAGAGTGGGCCGCTGCGCGCGAGCAGAGACGACGACGACAACGACGGCGAGGACGGCGGCGAGGGACGGCGACCGTTGTTGGGGGGAGCCTCCTGGGGGGGACCTCGTCGCCGCGGCTGGGGTCGCCTCGAAACTGGAGAGACGACGACGACGACGACGACGACGACGACGACGACGACGACGACGACGACCACGAAGACCATCACGACGACGACGACGACGACGACGACGACGACGACGACGACGACGACGACGACGACGGCGGCGGCGGCGGCGGCGGCGGCGGCGGCGGCGACGGCAACGGCGACGGCGACGGCGACGACGACGACGATTGGGACGACGGCGACGATGACGACGCAACGACGACAACGGCGGCGGCGGCGAGGATACACGATACACCGATTTCGCTGATTACCAGGACTTACGAATGCCATCTGACCAGAACTTCAAACCAGCGCATCCAGCCGCGGCGACGCCAGTGCAGGTCGACCTTCTGAGCGGTATCGATATATAGCATATCGTACTATTCCTCCTCCTCCTCCTCCTCCTCTTCCTCCTCCTTGTCTTCCTTTCGCGACGACGGCGAAGGAGGTTGGATTGGATTGCGCCCCGATGACATTCGAACCCGCCCGCAGTCAGGGCACCATAGCCCATGACACCCCTGAACGCGGCCGATTGCTGACTACAGAAAAACCACGGCTGGGAGCTCCCACCCCCGCCGGACCCGGACGGGACGGGCTAAGAAAGCAACTATGTTAGAAGGAGGAAGGCCGAGAGGAGGCGAGGAAGCGAGGGAGGGAAGGATATAGTTGTTTGCGAAGCCCTTTGACTTGCTCGGGTGTCTTATACGAGTCCCCCCATTGTGCCTCCATGCTTCTGCCGCCCCCACCCCCCGCAACCTGTCTCCACCCCCAGTTCCCCCTCTCGAGGCCGCTTCGCCAGCGACAGGCATGCCACCCGCCTCGCCGGTGCGGCTGCCGCGCGACACGCCAGCCCCCACCCGCCCGCGTCGGGCGACCCTCAAGGCACCTGGGAGACGCCCGCACGACGCCGCGAAGATGCCCGCACGACGCCTCTAAGACGCCTGCGGGGCTTCTCATAGAGGTCGGTTGGAATTCATCCTCGAGTGATTGGAAGCAGTACCAATGGGGTTGCAAGTTAAGCTGATGTGGTTGGAGCTGGATCTAGTTGGTCGTAATCTGTCCCACTTCTGGGCCAGAGACCCCACCCCCAGGTAAGTTCACCCGAGGGTCGCCTGGGGCCGGGGGGGCTCAAACGCGCAGCTTGCGGTCCTCGGGGTGGGAACAGGGGGAGGACATCTCACACGCCTGTAGTCCCACAAGGGGTCGGCTGATTTGTAGTGCCTCAGATTGCATGCTCATGTCCCCAACCGAAAGCAAACCCAGATTGGGATCGCGCTGCATCGGTTGCTTCATGGTTTTCAACGTTTTTTTTCCGAGCGTGGGCAAAACATCGCCAACCACCCCGAGATAGTGGAGCAGAGAGAGACTTCGACGCATCTTTGACTATCCATCCCACCGAGGGGGCAGGATTCTAGGGGGAGGTCTATAACAAGATTGACATGATTGATCTGAAGCAGGTTGACGAGCTTGCTCGGCGTGATCACTCTGTGGCGGGAGGGGGAGACAAAATCATTTCAACATGTGAGCAAACAATACCAGCAGCATCACCTGCAGCAGAGCCGGAGGAGGGTGAATATCATGTCTTCGATGAAGGGTCAGCCTAGAAGTTCCACTAGTTGGTGGACGTTTGTGAACGGCAGAACAGAATCCGACGCGGTGCGTGATGATTGACAACATGTTTGCTCGCAGCTTGTCCACTGAGTTAAAGTACACACAATTGGTTGACAGCGTGCTTGACGGACGTTCGATTGGTGGCCCGTTTTGCGTTGAGACGATGGAGATTTCAGGATGACGCTTGGAGCATGAAACCGACCTTGGGGAAATCACGTTATCCATTGGGGAGTTTGTCACGCACCATGGAGAGCGCATTGTGATTACGCTTACTCGGCACAAAAAAGTACCCCGCGACGAATGGATGACGACTGGCTACGCTTAGCAATGTAGCGTAGTTGCATATCTCAGCGTCTTATCACGCATCGTCGTGTCGCAAACATGAGTCAAGTAGGTGGTCGGCGAGCATGTCGACGCGTACGCTCACGCCGTTTTCTGGGCACTCGCCTTCTGCACCTTGCGCAGGCCAGCTGACAGCGATTTCCGTCGCATGTCAGCTTGACTGGAAGTCGTGGGAGGGCAATTAGCGAGGTGTGGTTTTGATTATCCGCCCGCAGCACGTTCCTCATACGGTGGGGGCGTTGGTTAAGGAATGTGTCCGGGGGGCTTCAGACCCTTGAGGATTCCTTATCTGATGAGGGTGGCGGTGATATCCATGGCCGAGCCTCAATTGGAGTTCGACCGGCCTCCAGACCCTGGATTCCTCATGTAAGGGTTCCTTATCCAATGCCCCCACCGTAGCGCGGCGGCTGGGCAGCCCAAGAGCAAGAAGGGCTCCAGAGCCCAGGCGCGGTCGGACTTCGCACGTGGCATCCTGCCAGCGTCGAAGGATCCGATCGCGCCGCTGGCCTCGCCAAAGGAGAGCACGCGCCTGCGCTGGGCGGCGGCTCTCCAGGCCAGGCAGGGCCACGGCGCGGAGGAGCAGGCGCTCGAGGCGGCGCCCGTGCCAGCGCAGCGGCAGCCTGCAGCCGCCCCGCCCCCGCCACCTGCGGCTGGCGCTGGGAGCCAGGAGGCAGCGCCGCCGAGCGCCGCGGCGCCGCGGCGCCTGGCCGCGGCGGCCCCGCGGGCGGAGGCCGCCGAGCCGCGGCGGATCCGCCCAGGGCTCGAGGGCGTCCTCCGAGCCCACGGCTTCGCGGACGCTGCGGCGGCCCGCGAGCGCGGGAGAGCCGCGAGGGCAGCGGCCGCCCGCGCAGGCCGCGCGGCGGAGTTCGCCGTGGGCTGATGCGGGCTCAGCAGGTGGCTGTAAGCGCTCTCGCGGCCCTCCGCCTGCTCTGTCTCGTTCGAATGCTTGCATGCACCCCCTGTGCGCGCGCAGGGCCCCCAGAGATAAAAAAAAAATGCCCCCACCGTAGCTCACACATCCTAGCTTACAAAAAATAGCTCGCACCGAATAGCTGACACCACATACCTTACACAGCAAAGTCTACACCGCACAGCTCTCACCACAAAGCTCACACAGCATACGCCGCCCAGCTTCCAGACATTGCTTACACCGCATAGTTGACACGGCAAAGTTCACACCACATTTTTCATACCCCATTGTTTACTCCACATAGTTTACACTGTACAGCCCACGCCACACAGCTCAGACCGCATAGATTTCACCTCCACTGTGCAATTACTAACTGTTTGAGGTCCACGCTGGCGAACATTGCTTTATGGCAGAAATTGAAAATTCATTGCGTGTGGACCCTGACGTCACGTTCTGCGTCAGGGGCGCGCCCGATGCTCAGACTGCTGAGGATGTCCCCAGCGAGACGGCCAGAAAAAGACAAGCGCCGCGACAACGAATCGCCTCTGAGCTCTACCGTCAGGGGTGCAGGCCCTGGGCCGGCCCACTCCCCCAGATGTTCCCACACCTCCCACCCTTCGCACCAGAAGTCTTGACCATCCCCAGGACCTGCTCTGAGCGCTCCTGCAGGGACCCAAGAGGCCGCAAGAGCCTTTCGTGCATGCCCCAGCGTTCCGAAGGGGCACCAAGAGGCCGCAAGAGAGCTCATGTGCCCGCCAATGTGTACCAAGGCAGCCCCTCGATGATTCCAACATCAACCAAGAGGCTCCACAATGTCTGCCAGCTGGCCCCCAGAGGATCAAACAGTAAGTGATTGCACTATTGATGTGCAAGCTATATGATGCAACCTGCGTGGTGCAAGCTATGTGGTGTAAGCGATGTGGTGCAACCTCGACGGAACCCCCAAGCGCGGGGGGCGGCAACGAGGCGGCAACGGGCGGCGATGCGGCGAAACTTCGACATATCCCCCGAGTGGGCGGCAACGAGGTGGCAACGGGCGGCGACGCGGCTAAACCTCAACATACCCCCTCAAGGAACCGGCAACCAGGCGCCAAGGGGCGGCGACGCAGCGAAACCTCGACATCTCCCCCCCCCAAAGTGGGTGGCAACGAGGCGGCAACGGGCGGCAACGAGGCGGCAACGGGCGGCGACGCGGCGAAGCCTCGACATACCACCCGAGTGGGCTGCAACCAGGCGGCAACCGGCGGCGACGAACAAAAAATTTGACAGGTCAACCAGTTAACTAGCGAAACAAGTAAGACCCCTGAAGTGCAAGCACTGTTTGAGGAATTCCATGTTCAGGAATCCCCTGTGCCTGTCACGAGGGCTTCGGCGGAAGCAAGGGCAACCTCAGCGCCCGAAGGAAGCCCCAAGAGAATCCCAAGATGGCCCCGGATAAGCCCAAGAGGGCCCCAGGAGGGCCGAAGAGGGCGCCAAGAGAAGCCCAAGAGTACCCCGGGAGGGCCCAAGCAGGTTCCAAGAGGGCCCAAGAAAGCCCGAAGAGGCTCCCAGAGGTTCCCAGAAAGCCACCAAGAGGTCCCCACGACGCCCCAGAGACATTGACCTCCTGGAGCACGCGTTGCGCCTGGCGTGCCTGGCGCAGCTGGTGTGCACAGTGTTCATGGCGCGCGTGTTGTGCACAGCATTGTTGGTTCGCCTCCTCTGCGAGCTATTCCCCGTGTGCTTGGTGTGATCTCGTACCGCATGGAGCGGATGGTACGCGTCATGTAGCTGGTATGCTTGATGTACCTCATCGCTCCTCCATCCTCCCTCCTCTTTCCTTCCTCTTCGCTCCTCCATCCCGCTCCTCCGCCCAACCCCCAGCAAGCCCGCTCCACTGACTCTGCTTCTGCGTCCTCCTCCAGCTTCCCCCTCCTCCTCCTCCTCCTCCTCCTCCTCCTCCTCCTCTCCTCCTCCTCCTCCTCCTCCTCCTCCTCCTCCTCCTCCTCCTCCTCCCCCGCGCCCGCACTTCCGCCCAACCTCCAGCAGGCCCGTTCCACTGGCTCTGTTGTCACCCTTTCTTGGGTACGCATTGCTACCAGCGTGGGCCCCGAACAGTGGGGAAAGGCATCGTGGAGTAGGGTGCCAGCCGCGCATCTGCCCGGCCACCAATTGGCACATATCAGCATCAGAATCAGCATCATCATCATCATCATCATCATCATCATCAGCAGCAGCAGCAGCAGCATCAGCAGCATCATATTCGTCATCATCATCATCATCAGCAGCACCATCGTCATCATCAGCATCACCATAATCATCGGCAGCAGCAGCATCATCATCACCATTATCGTTATTATCATAATCAGTAGCATTGCCATCATCAGCGTTGCCAGCATCATTAACAGTACCAGTCGCATCATCAGCAGCATCATCATCAGCATCATCATGACCATTATCATCATCATCATCAGCAGCATCATCAGCATCATCATTATCATTGTCATAATCATCATCACCACCCTCAGCATCAGCATCATCACTACCTGCAGCTTCATCGCCTCTGAGACTCTGCCTGGACTGTTGGCTCAGGCTATGCATTGCATGCCCAAGCCAGCCTGCGGTTCGTTGTTTCGGCCAGACCGTTTCAGCAAACACGGGTGGAGCCACGCGCAGTTTGTAGGCAATCTCGTGGGTCCAGCGTGGTGGGGTGGTGGCTATTGCTGTCACGGTCCACCTTCGTTCCGCTGCTCAGCCAATTCGGCATCTGCATTGCCACCAGATGGCATATCATCTTCGTCGTCTTTGGCATCATGCCGGGACTGTGGGCGAATGTTATGCAACGCATACCCAATTAGTTTGCGGTCCGTTGTTCCGGCCAGACCGACTCAACAAACTCGGTTGGAGTGTTGTCAGGCGGCAGGGGGCTAGGGGTAGTCCATAGGGTAGTTAAGAGGATCTAACCCCGTCCTGCGTTTTTAAATCCTGCGCACGTCGCGGTCCCCGCCTTGATGCGCTCAATTTGGGGTTTCCACGTCGAGGCGTCCACTTCGAAGTCGCCCACCCTCGTGGACATTTGGGTGCGATGTCGGCTCCTTGGCCGCCGTCGCACTGCCCCCGCTGGCGTCGCACACCGAGCCCCACTGCACTGCCGCTATGCCTTCATTGCGGTAGGGCGTCCGCAGCGGGGCCCAAGAGGGCAGCCCAACCCTGCTGGCCCAACCTTCTCTCCTACCCTTGTCGGCCCAACCCAGGCAGCCACTGACGCGGACTATCCCTTCCCACCTCGTTGACGCGCTCCTCCGCCCAACCCCCAGCGGGGCTGTTTACGACCTTCCCCCGCCCCCTCTAATGGTACGCGATCCCCGTTTCTCAAATGCGTTTCCCTTCCTCTTTCCCCCAAGCCCCCGCCTTCTCCTCTGCGCAGCCCCAATCCCCCTTTCCTTTCCCACCTCGCTCGCCCGCTCCCCCGCCCAACCCACAGCACGCCCACTCCACTGACACTGCTGTCACCCTTTCTTGAGCACGCACTGTTACCAGCGTGGGTCCCGAACAGTAGGGGAAGGCGGTGTGGAGTAGGGTGCCAGCCGCACATCTGCCCAGCCACCAGATGGCACACATCATCATCATCATCATCATCATCATCATCATCATCATCATCATCATCATCATCATCATCATCATCATCATCATCATCATCATCAGCAGCAGCAGCAGCAGCAGCAGCAGCATCACCATCACCATCACCATCACCATCACCACCACCACCATCATCATCATCATCAGCATCAGCATGAGCATCATCATCACCTGCAGCTTCATATTTTGTGAAACTTTGCCAGGACTGTGGGTTAAGGTTGTGCGTTGATCTTCATCGCATACCCAGCCAGCCTGCGGTCCGTTGTTTCTGCCAGATCGTTTCAACAAACACTGCTGGAGTTCCGGTATACGCCATGCGAAGTTTGTAAGCGTTTTCAGGGGTCCCGCTTGATGGGGTGGTGGCAACGGCTGTCACGGTCCACCTTCATTCCGCTGCCTAGCCTACTCGGCATCTGTACTCCAGATGGCATCTTCGTCCTCATCGGTAGTCTGCCAGGACTGTGGGTTGAGGCTACGCAATGCATACCCAACTAGCCTGTGGCCCGTTGTCTGGTGCAATGCGCCACTCTGGCACAGTCCTAGTGTGGGTTGTGCAGGCCAGAGCGCGCCCTCGTTAGCATCCAACAGTAACAGGCTGCGAGTTGGGGCTTCCCCATGCGACAGGTGCCCCCTTTGGGCATATCCCTCCTCGGCACAGTGACTGTTCAAAGGCGGCCTGATCGCAGACCTGGTAGTTTGGCCAGTGATCCTCCATCCTGCCTCCCTCCTTCCCCTTCCTCCGTTTCTCCTCCATCTGCCGTCCCCCTGGCGGGCTTTCTCTCGCCCCTCTTCTCGCCTGTCTCCCCGCTGTTCCCCCCACTCTTCCCTTCTCGTTCCTCCCTCCCCCGCTCCCTCCCTCGATCCCTCGCCTTGTGCAAAAGACCCAGTGGCACCTGCGCCCCCCTCCCGAGTTCACCGGGCGTTTCTTTTGGGCGTTCCGTCTTGACGTTTTCTGGCAAGCGAAGTCGTGTGATTCATCGGGGCCATTTGGACCAGTACATCGTCCGCGTGTTTGTGCATTGCATACGTGCTTTGTTTGACTCTGCATTGCGCTGCGTATGCATTACGGTGATTTGTTTCGAATTCCCTTGTAGCAAACTGCGTGGCACTTGCTGTGCTTGGCGTTCCCGTGCAGCGCACTGCATGTATTCGCATTCTGGTGCAGTGCCATTGTTCTCGCCTTCAAAAGCAGTGGATCGCGTTGCACGACCACTACTACGCTGCATCGCATTCCTTTCCATTGATCCCCGTTGAATTTGCAGGATGTACCCTCGTTGGTAATGCGACTCTGTTCGGTCTGGGTTGTTAACACTTACTCGCGGTCAAGCGGTTGCGTACACGGTACAAAACGAGCGGATTAAAGGATTGGGTTTGCTAGAATTTTCGGGCGCACCAGGCGTGCGTGGCGTTAGTAAACAACGCACACGAAATTTGAAGACGGAACACTTGTTGCGTCGGCGGTCAAGCAGAGTAATTGCGGTGGCGATGAGCTACCTAAGCAGGGGTGCCGTTGTAGCGAATTGCGCCACCATGCTGGAAGAGGTGAGAGGGCAGAGGACGCGGCCGAAAAAGGGGGCGGAAGGGGAGCGAGGCCGCTCAGGGGGACAAACTTGAAGACAAAACCCGCCCCATCTGAATGCAAGCGAAGAGACGCGCCCAAGCAAGCGAAAGGTAAGGTTACAGACAAGCCAAAGGGAGCCAAACAAGTGGTCGAAAAGACAGTCCGAGGGCGAGCCACGGCGTTCCACCAGGATGAGGGGGCATCCTCGAGAAATTGTGGGGCGGGGGGGGGGCGCGCATCCTCCAGGGATACGTCCTCGGGATCCGTCGCCACAAGTCTTTTGCACAGGATAGGTCGGATCCCTGTGGCAAGGCCTGGCAGGAATTCAAAAGGGGGCGGCGAAGGCGATGGAGAAAATGCCATGGCGGAAGGAGGACGGGGTGGCATCAGGGAGGGGGAAGGATTAATGCCGCAGCTCCCCAAAACAAGACTTGCTTGGTGCGCAATTCCGTTAAAACCAGTGCCTCGTTGGACGGTTGTGGTGGCGTGTGTTTGGTTGATTTGGGTCACGTCCGAAGTTCGACACATAGACACAGGTGTACAGAACCAAAAACACGCGAACGCGCAAGTGAAGTCGTTGAGTGAAAAGTGCGTGCGTTCGGAAATGACCGACCAGATGCATCACATATGCCACACTAGCTATAGTATGGTTGTCTTCGATCGGGCTCGCGACTCCAGGTTCCTTGTCGCACGGCGTTTCATCCATCCGTCGAGCTCGAGCAGCGTCGGGCCAATTCCAGGAATGGGACGTACAGAGATGTATGGTTTGGACGACGTGCTTAGAGAGCGTTTGCATGTTCGAGTGTAAGTGTATGAGGGATGGTGTTCGAGGTTTGCTCGGTCCAGTGGAAGATGAACTTGGACTTCCTGCTAGCGCGAATGTGGCAAGAGATGCAGGCTCTCACGGTTCGCATTGAAGGAGTAGCCAAGCATGATTTGTCGCAGTCCGTGCAGTGCAACCACGGGCATCAAACCATAGTGTCGATGTCATGCTATGCCCGCGCGATTGCAAGGTTAGCATTCTGACCCCTGGAGGCGCTCAGCGGATGATGCGTATATCTATAGAGACTTGTGTCTGTATGTGTATATTGCCGCATCGTGGATGGATTGCACATCGGGAGCGCATGCAGTTGCAATTGCAGCGTCATGCTCGGTTGTAATGTCTTGTTGTGTTGTGATTGCGTTATCTTCATGCATTATCTTCCTGCGCACACTCCAGGGGAATAGTTGCAATATGGTTAGCATCTTGGCTGTTCAACCCAATTGTCCAGGCCAGAAGACGCGGTCTGGCGCGATTGTATCATATATATATATATATATATATATATATATATGGATGGATGTACGTACGTATGGATACACACCTTGTGATTGCAGCCGCGCCCCACGAACATTTTGAGCTCTCGTTTATTATGGTTGGGGAGGTTGTCAGAATATATACCAAAAAGAAGGCTGCTGGGTTCTTGCCTGGGTCACAGCATCTCAGGATGGCGAGACTACTAGCAAGGCCAGGAGAGCCATGGGAGGATATGCAGTCAAGCAGTACCAGTTTTAATCGGCAATTTTGTGGAGCAATCTGGAGCCGAACAGGGCCGCAATAGTTCAGATGAGCAGAAGCGTGATTACGGTTCATATTCGCAGCTGGCATTTCGATGTGCGTCCCAGGCTGGCGAATGCAGCAGTTTGTGAAATTGCACAGGGAGCCGGAGGAAGAAATGTGGCATATGCCCAGACACAGAGTGATCGGGCGAGCGTGTTTAATTGAGCATACGACGCAGTCACTCCGGTTGCAGCACCCCAATCGTTTACACATTACAGAGTGCATTGTGAAGAGAGATTTCGTTACAGCATGATGGGGAGAAGGGGGCGTGTCGTGATCACACCATGTGATCTTCTGGGCCGTGCAAGAGTAGGCAGGAGAGCGCGGGCCGCGGGCGGAAGATTCAGGATTGGGGCAGGGTGAGTTCCCTGACTTCAAGGATGAACGCTTGCGTATGCGACCGCCGTGTCTTCCAGCGCGCTCGTCGTTGTGAAGCCCATCCGTGTTCCAGCTGCTTTGATAACAAGCCCAGTCGGTGAATGCTCATCCCCGTGGTTGACTATCACGTGAGGTACCATGGTGTGCGGGAGTGATTGCAAGCGTCGTCTGACCTACCCTCCTTGCCATACGACTCTGCTGTTCATGTGCGCATGTGGGTGGCAACTTCCATGGATCCCGCTGGCGGGGCTGGCCGCGCCAGCACACTCAGGTGAGAATTCGTCCACCTCTGAGTGGCCTCTTCTTCCCACCCCCCTCCGCGGCCGCCCCGTCTGTCCTTCCCCCGCTCCTGCACGCTGGCCAATTCGCTCCTCGGCGCCCCCGTTTAGCTCCATCGATGCTGCGGCCAACCCTGCCTCGCCGCCGACGAAAAAATAGTGTACAGTCGGGGCGCTGAAGAAGGAACCCTTTTCGTTAGGGGAGGGGCTCGGTGTTCCTTGATGGTTTAACAGTTTGCCTCAGGTCTTCCTGAGGTTTTCCATGGGACATCGATGTTTAACTTATGAGAGAAAGGGGCCTCGTTCCTTATTTAGGGTTCCTTAGGTCAACGCCCCGACCGTATGTGGGTGGGGCGGTGATTCTCTGGGTAGATTCAGCTTCTCCATGCTGCCCGAGCTGGCCCGGCCCGCGCGCTCCCGCCTCGCTGGACCGAACGCCGCGCCGCCGTGCACGCAGCCGCGACGTCAGGCAGTGTGAGTGTTGGCGGGGGGGGGCGGTGCTAACTAATATCGGGCGTGGACAGAAACCCCAACAGTGACACGTCGATTAGTGAATTGTCCGTTTTCGGTTCTCGAGGGGGCGCCGTGGCCGTTATTTTCCAGGCTTGCGCCCGCCAGGTTTGGGGTTCAGGTCGTTTTCACAAAACCACGTTTTACTAAAGGGGGTCTGTCCATCCCCGATAATAACAGCAGTTATACCAATAACATGACATTCACGACGCAGGACGGGACAACACATTTTTGATCTGCGGGGCGAGAGCGAACCGCTTCCGCGAAACGCTAGGCGGGCTACGCACAGTTACAATTAAGGACGGGACAACACACACAGACACCATGGATCGTCAACCCCCCAGAAAAGATTGGCAAGTATGGGAAGTGTAAAAGAAGACGGAGGGCCAAGAAAAAACAAATTAGCCTGGCGAAGAACCCAACCATATGCAGTTGTCAGTACCGCAGCTGCGGGCTTCATCTTCAATGGAACTCCCCATAGGACTACGGAACGTGTGAGGGGTGTGCCGAGATGGGTGCCACTGGGGCATTCGGCGAAGCTCCCTATGGGGACATGAAACACGCGCGGGGCGTGCCGACATGGGTGGCGGAAACGCATGTGCGGGCCGCCACTGGGGCCTCCAGTGGAGCTCCCTATGGGTCCCCGAAACATGATGCTGCTGCGGGGGGGGGGGGGGCGGGATGGGTGGCGGAGACGCATGTAAGCGCCGCTACTGGGGCCTTCGGTGGAGCTCCCTATGGGGCCACGAAGCGCGTGAGGGGTGTACTGGGATGTGTGGCGGGGACGCATGTGAGCGCCGCCACTGGGGCCTTCGGTGCAGCTCTCTATGGGGCCACGAAACGTGTGAGGGGTGTGCCGAATTAGGTGCGGGTGGTGACGCATGCGGGCGGTGCCACTGGGGCCTTCGGTGGAGCTCCCTATGGGGCCACGAAACCTGTTGTTGTGAGGGGCGTGCCGGGATGGGTGGCGGGGACGCATGTGAGCGCGGCCGCTGGGGCCTTCGGTGGAGCTCCCTATGGGGCCACGAAACGTGTGAGGGGTGTGCCGAATTGGGTGGGTGTGGGTGACGCATGTGAGCGCCGCCACTGGGGCCTCCGGTGGATGATGGGGCCACGAAACCTGTCAGGGATGTGCCGAAATGGGTGTGCGGGACGCATGCGCATGTGAGCGCCGCCACTGGGGCCTTCGGTGGAGCTCCCTATGGGGCCACGAAACGTGTGAGGGGTGTGCCGAATTGGGTGTGCGTGACGCATGCGGGCGGCAGCACTGGGGCCTTCGGTGGAGCTCCCTATGGGGCCACGAAACGTGTGAGGGGTGTGCCGAATTGGGTGTGCGGGACGCATGCGGGCGGCAGCACTGGGGCCTTCGGTGGGGCTCCCTATGGGGCCACGAAACGTGTGAGGGGTGTGCCGAATTGGGTGTGCGGGACGCATGCGGGCGGCAGCACTGGGGCCTTCGGTGGGGCTCCCTATGGGGCCACGAAACGTGTGAGGGGTGTGCCGAATTGGGTGTGCGGGACGCATGCGGGCGGCAGCACTGGGGCCTTCGGTGGGGCTCCCTATGGGGCCACGAAACGTGTGAGGGGTGTGCCGAATTGGGCGTGCGGGGCGCATGCGGGCGGCAGCACTGGGGCCTTCGGTGGGGCTCCCTATGGGGCCACGAAACGTGTGAGGGGTGTGCCGAATTGGGTGTGCGGGACGCATGCGGGCGGCAGCACTGGGGCCTTCGGTGGGGCTCCCTATGGGGCCACGAAACGTGTGAGGGGTGTGCCGAATTGGGTGTGCGGGACGCATGCGGGCGGCAGCACTGGGGCCTTCGGTGGGGCTCCCTATGGGGCCACGAAACGTGTGAGGGGTGTGCCGAATTGGGTGTGCGGGACGCATGCGGGCGGCAGCACTGGGGCCTTCGGTGGGGCTCCCTATGGGGCCACGAAACGTGTGAGGGGTGTGCCGAATTGGGTGTGCGGGACGCATGCGGGCGGCAGCACTGGGGCCTTCGGTGGGCTCCCTATGGGGCCACGAAACGTGTGAGGGGTGTGCCGAAATGGGTGTGCGGGACGCATGCGGGCGGCAGCACTGGGGCCTTCGGTGGGCTCCCTATGGGGCCACGAAACGTGTGAGGGGTGTGCCGAAATGGGTGCGACGCATGCGGGCGCAGCACTGGGGCCTTCGGTGGAGCTCCCTATGGGGCCACGAAACGTGTGAATCGTGTGAGGGGTGTGCCGAATTGCGGGAGGATGCGCGTGCGGGACGCAGCACTGGGGCCTTCGGTGGGGCTCCCTATGGGGCCACGAAACGTGTGAGGGGTGTGCCGAATTGGGTGTGCGGGACGCATGCGGGCGGCAGCACTGGGGCCTTCGGTGGGGCTCCCTATGGGGCCACGAAACGTGTGAGGGGTGTGCCGAATTGGGTGTGCGGGACGCATGCGGGCGGCAGCACTGGGGCCTTCGGTGGAGCTCCCTGTGGGGCCACGAAACGTGTGAGGGGTGTGCCGAAATGGGTGTGGCAGGAGGAGGGGGGGAGGAGGAGAGGAGGAGACGCGGGCCACCGTCTCTTCAAAACGAGGACCCAACACCACAGGATGGTTGGGAAAGATATTGGGGACCTTGGGATGTGTGTCTGTTCATGTATGTGTGTCCCAGGGCCCCTTCAACGATGGCGTTGATGATGATGATGATGATGATGATGATGATGATGATGATGATGATGATGATGATGATGATGATGATGATGATGATGATGATGATGATGATGATGATGATGATGATGATGATGATGATGATGATGATGATGATGATGATGATGATGATGATGATGATGATGATGATGATGATGATGATGATGATGATGATGATGATGATGATGATGATGATGATGATGATGATGATGATGATGATGATGATGATGATGATGATGATGATGATGATGCTGCTGCTGCTGCTGCTGCTGATGATGACGAGAGTGCGAGCGATGGCGTGAGATCAACATGCACGTGCCCCGGCTGTCAGAGCGAGCGAGACGAATTTCACATGCATTGTTTGCATGGTGTGATGTTTGACCCGCACTGTTCTCCAACCCGTAACGCATTGATCGCAGTCATTGTGTGCCAATTTCGCTTTAACGTCAAAGCTGTCTATCGGTCGGTTATGCGTCGGAATAGGTCTAAGTTGTTTCAAGCCTCGAAGACGCATACGGCGAATCACCGCCGCCCGCTGCCTTTTGGAAACGCCTATGCGGCCAAACGAGGGGCCGAAGTCTGGTCAAGCTATTGGACTATGTGTTCCCCCAGTCGGTGTGGAACCCCTGGGGGAAGGGCACTGAACAGAGGAAGAGGAAGAGAAGGAGGACGTGGAGGCGCTCATTGAGGCCCTCTCAGGGTCAGCTGGGGGGCTTCCTGGGAGCTTCTTGGGGGCCTTTGAGGGGCCGCTTGGTGGCTTCCTGGGACCTCTTAGGGGGCCTCTTGGGCCCTCTGGGGGCATCAAAGAGACATCTTGGCCTTCGGAGGCCGTCTTGGGGGCCCCTCTCTGGGCATGTTAGGCCAGTCTTGCAGGTCTACGGGATGGTGCCGTCTTGGAGCCGTGAGGGGCCCTCTCGGGCCGTCGTCGCGGTGTGGGTCGTCTCCCGATCTTCTTGGGAGCTGTTTGGGGCGATCTTGATGGCTCCTCCTCCTCCTTCTCCTCCTCCTCCTCCTCCTCCTCCTGCTCCTTCCTCCTCCCTCCTCCTCCTCCTCCTCCTCCTCCTCCTCATCCTCCTCCTCCTCCCTCCTCCCTCCTCCCTTCTCCCGCTTCCTCCTCCTCTTCTTGCTCCTCCTCTTCCGCCTCCTCCTCCTCCTCCTCCTCCTCCTTCTCCTCCTCCTCCTCCTCCTATGTATGCAAGTCTGGGCGCGATGAGCAGCAGTGCAGTGTGAACAGCTTAGTGCCACTACGCTGTGGACACTAAGCTTCAACAGCGTAGTGTCAACAGCATGGTGTCAACAGCGTAGTGTCAACTGCATGGTATCAACAGCGTCGTGTCAACAGCGCAGGTGTATTCAGCGTAGTGTCAACAGCGCAGGCGTCAACAGCGTCGTGTCAACAGCGTCATGTCAGTTGGCATTGCGTTGTGGCAGTTGGCACTGCGTTGTTGCCACTACGCTGTGACGTCGACGATGTTCACCAGACTCGTCCTATGCATTTCTTGGCGCGACGAGCAGCAAGGCAGCGTGAACAACGCA